AATTAAAAAAGTAAATCAGAGACATATTTATAGTAATTATGCAGGCAAATTTGCCTGCAAATCTCTACCAATTAAGGAATAGATAGACTCAGAAATAATTCAGGAGTTTCAAAGACCTCAACTATACTTTAGCGAGACGTCTACTAATAGCGATCATGTTGTAATACAGACGCAATGGTATACGCACACACTCATGAAAGTGACAAGACATAAAAAAAATTACAGGAAGATATTTCAATATAAGAAAACAAGTACAGAAAAATAGAAAAATTGTCAGATTATGTTACACACCATATTAAGGCTTCATTGACGCTTTATAAAGATATAATCAATGTTGAAACACTAAACAAAGCTTGGAACAATTAGAGCAATATTGTAAAACAGGCTGCTAATAAGTTCGTAGCAAAGAGTTATAGAACAAATAATATTAAGTACACCTACACTTTTCTAGCAACTAGCCTGCATAAAAGAATAAAAATGTTAAACAAAGCAATCTCGGCTATGGTCAGGGCAGAAGGGCCTTGGAGTACGGCAGAATTGATCAACTATATTAACAGTAAAATAGAAGAAGCGTTGAAGCTGACAAATTTAAAAATAGACAAAATAGAAGGTGCAAATATACAGCCCAAAAATGTACAGAATACAATGTTAAGGATCAAAAGAGCAAGGAAAACAGTACAAAAAGCAAGAAATCTGAAAAACTTAGCAGCGAAATGTGATAGAATTAATAAACACATTGAAAGACGATATACAAATTTTAAAGAAAACACTAAGTGTATGGTGAATAGTATTTTAAAAAAAGATACAACAGGAGTGACCTTTACAAAGTTAGCGACATCGGTAGAATTGATAACAGATGAACAGAGTATAAAAAGTGTGACTATGCAGCATTTTAAAAATTAGACAAAGTTAAATCTCATGAATGAAAATAAGTGGAAGGAATGGGAAGAAACATATAAAACAGCTAGGAATTGTAATAAAGAAGCTTTCAATAAGTTAGATGAACTAATATCCTTAGAAGAATTTAACGAGACGATGAGATCATCACTGATGGGTAAAGCGACAAGTCCATCTATGCTAGCAAATGAGCTCCTAAAGAAACTGCCAGAGGCAGCAAAAGCAAAGTTGTTAAATATCTTCAATGCAGCCTTAAGATTGCAAGAAGTACCAAAAGAGTGGAAAAAAGGTTTGGTCTGGCCAATAGTGAAATCTGGATATCATGAAGGCGAATTAAATATGATGAGACCAATAACTCTAATCGAACACTATCGAAAGGTCTTTACAAAGATATTAGCAAATAGAATAAGTAGTATTTTGACAGAATATAATAACATTTTATCAAATGCTAACAATATAGAAGTATTTTTTACTCAAATGCTTTTCCCAATTCAGCAAATAATCTATATCCAAGAAGATGCTAGGTTAATGAATAAGGAGCTATAGATACTAGTGCAGAATATATTAAAGACATACGACCATGTACATATACCATTATTGGAAAAAGCTCTGAACAGAATTAATATGAACAAAAATATTACAAAGCTAATAGTTAATATGTTCAAGAGCAGAAAAAATCAAGTAATAACTAACATAGGCAAAACCAATGCTTACAAGGTAGAGAATGGTCTCGACCAAGGAGGTACCCTCTCGCCAATATTATGGAGAATTTATTACAACCTATTGATAAAAAAAATACAGGAATCAGGTTTAAGTTATGTGTCCAAAGTAGATTCAGCAGAGACAAATATTCAAAAACAGACTGTTATATCTGTGTTAGCCTATATGGATAACACCACATAGGTGGCACCGAATAGAAATAATCTAGAAAAAATATTGGAAATTGCATTATCTTTTTACGACCTAGCAAAAATTATGGTGAACCCAGCAAAGTCCGTACTGATTTACAACAACAAAAATGATGAAAGGGGAATAATATTCCAGAAAGAACTAGTGCATAATATGAGAAAAAAAGATGTTATAAAATTCCTAGAAACATATATAGATAGGCATCAAAATAGTCAATATGCTAAAAAAAAAATGGTTCGTGAGGTTGAACAGAACATTGTAAAAATAAGATACAGTAAAATAACAGAAAAACAAGTAATCTATATCATTAACATAGTGGTGTTAGCAAGACTAAATTATAAATTGTCAAATATCTGGTTAAGTAAATTAGTTTGCAAAAATTTGACTAGTAGCTACATGAGGATAGTTAAAGCAAAGGCCAGTATAGCAAGAGGGATGCCGAATAACACTTTCACAAATCTGAATATTTATGGTTTATATGACACATATCAATTGCAACAAAAACGGCATATATATACTAAAAATGCTGATGAACACATTGTTACAGAGTAGTAGCCTTCTAATTTACTCTATAACGACGACACGGCACAGGGAATCCTTTCGTAGGTATAT